GAGGAGAAGGGGGATGAACTCTGGCCTGGGGCAGGAGGAGAGGAAGGGGATGAACTCTGGCCTGGGGCAGGAGGAGAAGGGGGATGAACTCTGGCATGGGGCAGGAGGAGAGGAAGGGATGAACTCTGGCCTGGGGCAGGAGGAGGAGGGGGATGAACTCTGGTATGGGGCCTTTTGGTATCTGGCATCACTAAATCCTATGCTTTTGAGGTTCTGGTTGTGGCATGCACATCTCAATAGTTGCTTTTTTAATTGTTGAATATACTTCTAGAATTTGGAGTTTTATCAACAGAGAAGGAAAATAAAATGAGAAGCAGAGCTACACCTAGAACAAGATGCTTCCAAAGGCTTCCTCCCAATTAGCTGCTTCCTCTAGCCAGGCAGCACCCACTGACACCCAAATGTGCCTTCATGTTATGAATCTGTCAGTTAATTATTAGCCAATCACTTCCCAAAAGACCCACCTCTAAACCATACCTTTAATGTATTAGCCTTTGGGGAAGACCACATTATATCAAAACTATACCAGGTGCTTTGTTAATGCTAGTATCTCAAAAGACTGGATATGTTCATTGCTACTTTTAATCATATGCTCTGAGACCTACATTCCTGCGTATCAGAAAATATCCTGGTGGTGAATCCTAAAGATCTAGCTCCACGCAAATGACAATGTCCTGTTGTGGCCTTCGGTCTTGGCTTCTCATATCCTGCAAACACCGCTGAGCACCTTGTGTGTGTTGGACCAAGGACGAACACAGTAGACACTGCCTGTGGTGGAGGAGGCACAGAGCAGCTCATTCAAACTGCAAGTCTGCGAGTCACAACTGAGAGTTAGGGGTGGATGGAAGGGCAGACGTTTCTCATGGGCAGTGACATTTGATCTGGCTTTTTCAGGATCTACAGAGAAGCATGCACAAGGACACAGGACTTTCCTTTAACCAGAAAAATCCCACATCAAGAACATGTATACCTCAGCGTAGAGTTCAGAGAAGCAGAAAGCAGAAATTTCCCCTGGCTGTGGGGTTGAAACAGGAAACTACCCAGGAACCCTCTGCAGACAAAACTGGGGATTCCCAGCTCCCAGGACAGGTGGACGGTTTTCACAAGAAACATTCTCCATGCGGCTTCCACCTCTGCCCTGGCCTCTTGAAAATGGAAGCTCCGAGAGGCTACCGGGTTCTCGCCGGTTTGCAGTGAGACCCTAGCATGTGTGCCTGAGGTGAAACTGCCACTGGGAATTATTCATAGGTTGCATAAAGAAATCTTTCAGAGTTGATAAGGAGCAGTCATGTCTTTCTGTACTTGACAGTACAGTGCCTGCCTTCTGGAGACAGAAGGTCGTCACTGCCTTGAGCAGGTGGAATGCCTCATACCTGGGTTGTTGAGGTGTGAACAATGTTGCCTGTGCCCAGAACCACACGTGTTGGTCCAGGGCACTGTAAGGTCTTAGCTGGTGCTAGAGCTACATAGGTTATGGATTCCTTCCCTCAGAGGGGACCTGAGCTAGAAGGACAAGCCTCATATTGGTAGGGGATGGGTTTCCCTGATCATTAAAGGAGAAGTAGGATTTCTACAGTGTTTCTCTATTACTTCTAGGACCATTACAGGTTAAAGTCCCAATTCCAGCAACCTGAGAATGTGTATAGAAGGTCAAGTGGGCGGAGCCTGGTCTACTGGACTGATGCTGATGTTCAGAGGAGGAGATCAGGACACAGAATGATGGCAGAGACCCAGGAAAGGCAGCCTCAGAGGAGGCCAGCTCTGCCTGTGTTTTTACCAGGGGCATGCAGGCTCCAGAGCTGTGAGGAAAAGCATCTCTGTGGTGGAAGTAGCCTGCTCTGTGGTACTTTGTTACCCAGCCCAAGCAGATGAACACAGCTCTCAATGGACACCCACATTCTGTTACCACAGGAGTAAATGTAGATGCTGGCCAGGAGTCATTGGTTAGAAAGGCCCTGTCACTCCCCAGGGGTTATTTCAGTATTGGGTGACCTGGCAGCCTACTGGGGACAGAAAGTGGGGTTTCAGAGTTGGTTTCCCAGCAACCCAGGCTCTGCCTGCTGATGTCAGCAGCTGCCTTACAGTAAACACAGTTTGTTGGGGCAGATTTTGCCTGCCCAGAACTAATCTTCATCAGGTTAAATGGCTCATGGCCTCAGGGACATGAGTGGCTTTTGATGTTTAAAGAAAAAACAACCCAAAGCTCAAACTGTAACTTGGTCTTTTACCTGGTTTATTAGACATACCCCATTGTAGTTGGACCTTTTTGTCAGGACCGCAGGCTCCCCAGTAATGACACAGAGACTTATTATTAATTTTAAAAGCTCGGCCATAGCTTAGGCTTGTTACCAACTAGCTCTTATAGCTTAAATTAACCCATTCCTTTTAATCTACGTATTGTCACGTGGCTCGTGGCTTTACCTGTCCTCCAGCATGTCTTGCTTCCTCTTCGTCTCCTGGTGACCCCCTTTCTTCTTCCTAGCATCCTGTGTGCCTGAAAAATCATGCCTAGCTATTGGCCATTCAGCTTGTTGGCCAAGTACTTTTTTTTTGTTTTTGTTTTTGTTTTTTTGAGACAGTGTTTCTCTGGTGTTTTGGAGCCTGTCCTGGATCTCTCTTTGTAGACCAGGCTGACCTCGAACTCACAGAGATCCACCTGGCTCTGCCTCCCAAGTGATGGGATTAGAGGCGTGCACCACCACCACCTGGCTATGGCCATTCAGCTTTTTATTAAATCAATCAGAATGACACATCTTCACAGTGTTCAAAAAGATTATTCCACAACATTCTATGGTACAAAGGGAATAATAAAATGAGTCAGTTTGGAGTCTCAGGCACTTGGCAACCAGACTTTAGGCTTCAAGTGCATTTTGCTTACTGACTGGAAATATGCAGAGGACTCTGGAAGGGCCTGTGGGAACTCTGCTCACTTGCCCTTCAGCCCCAGCTGGGCCCCGCCTTTATGAGTCAGAGCCTTCCTCTCCCACCTTCCACCAGAAAGTTCTGGAAACCTGTTGGTTTCCAACAGAGTTGCTGGTAGCCGCAGCTCCTTGTGAAACTTGAGTTAGATTATACTGCTTCTTGGTGCCACCTGCACTGTACATTTTGTGTTTTTCCTTGCTCAGCTTGCTCCTTTTCATTAAAGAGTTTCATAAGAGTGAACACTAATAACCACACGATGGAGTCTGTACTAGGCTGTTTTGAAATTTCTTCTGCCAATGCCATTAATCCAAAACTCAGGTAGATTTTTCAGACAAGGGCAGAAAGCAGCCACATTCTTCACCAAATACCACACACAGTCTCTAGGCCACACACTAACATTCTTCTCTGAAACCTCTTGAGCCGGACCCCACAGGCACCACTGTCTTCTATGTTCTATTAAATGGCCCATCAAGCCCCACTTAAAGCATTCATCTGCTTTTCTAATCCAAAGTTCCAAAGTCCACATTCCTCCAAACAAAAGCATGGTCAGGCCTATCACAACAGTACCCCACTCCTGGTACCAACTTCTGTCTTAGTTAGGGTTTTATTGCTGTGAAGAAACACCATGACAACAGCAGCTCCTATAAAGGAAAACATTTAACTGGGGCTGGCTTACAGTCCATTATCATCATGGCAGGAAGCATGGTAACTTTCAGGCAGACACGGTGCTAGAGAGGCAGCTGAGAGTGTCCCATCTGAATCCACAGGCAGCAGGAAGAGACTGCACACTGAGCCTGGCTTGAGCATCTGAAACCTCAAAGCCTGCCCCCTACTGACACAACTCCTCCAGCAAAACCACACCCACTGCAACAAAGCCACACCTCCTAGTAGTGCCACTTCTATGGGCCTGTGGGGGCCATCTTTATTCACACCACCACCCCCTCCACGCAAGACTGTGGCTTCTTCTTTACTCGCATGTCATGTTCATAATGCTCTACACACTGAAATCAGAATGAAGATGTGCCGATGACTCAATTTCTTGTCTCCTCTGATCCCACACATCACACTAATTTGTATCCAGCCCAGCTAGGACTAGCTGTGATATATCCGAACTTGTTGGATCCCTGGAGCTGGAGTTACAGGCAGCTGTGCACTGAACTTGGATCCTCTGCAAACACAGTTCATGGCTCTTAGCCATGGAGTCACCTTTCCAACTCCAGGACGCTGTTTTATAGTTTTATGTGTATGACTACTTTGTCTTCATGTAGGTGTGTGTATCATATGTGTGCCTGGTTCCCATAGAGGTCAGAAGACATCAAATCCCCTTGGACTGGAGTTACAGGTGGTTGTGAGCTACCATGTGGGTGCTGGGAATCAAACTCAGGTCCTCTGCAAGAGCAGCCAGTGCTCTGAACTGCTGAGCCGACTCCAGTCCCTTAAGACAACCCTGACTCTAAAGGACATTCACACTCCTTATAGAAGGGTAGAATGGACCGTGGAGGTGGCTCAGCAGTAGATACTTTCTTTCACCAGGCCTGAGGATCTGAGTTTGGCTTCCATATGGAAGAAGAGAACTAATTCAACAAGTTGTCTGTCCTCTGACCTTCCCTAGGTGCACCATGGCAAAACATGCCCCTTCCCCTGACAACATTAAAGGTGAAAAAATAAAGGGTGGGCTGTTACACAGTCATAAAGAAGAAAATACACACTGTGGCCAAAGTCAGCATCCAGTACAGATGGAGTCAGATCTGTCACACTCGACTGCGGGCATGCAAGGAGATACACCCCAGAGCACCCAGTGGCCACTCAGCTCTCTCACAGAAAGTCCCTTCCTCAAGCACAGCCACCTCTGGCAGCCTTACTCTATCAAAAGATGAACCTCTGGTATACACCATCTTGTCTCACACTTTGTGTTGCTCATAATATAACCTGCTGCTCTTTAAAACTGCAGTCAAGGAGGCATCTCAACCTCCTTTGGGGCCCATGTAAGCTAGACCTACAACGTAGAATTCCTTGAGCTGCTAAGCCCAAGGTTTTTCACTCTGTTACCCGATTAAAGAAATACAATGGCTTTGGTTTTATTCTTGCTGAGGTGGTTTTTGTAGTGGGGCTTCACATTAGGCCTTTCCTCGGGCCACAGTTTCACGGAACTCAAAGGCAGGCAGCTCACCACACAGTTACCTACTCCTTCCTTCCTATGCTCGTATCAGCCAGGGCACCCGACCAAGCGTTCCTGGGCTTCCTGAAGGGTCACGTGGCTGAAATTCATCCAATCCATGATAGTTTTAAAGAAATAGCCATGCAGACACTTCTAGAGTCCAGCAAGGCTCCAGTGTGTCTCGGTTTGGGACACTGTCCCTAGTTTTCACAGCAGAAGTATGAATGGCACCCCAGCTGTGGTGGGTGGCTCTTCAGAGCATACTAGGCAGGGATCTTTTGACTCCTCAAGTCTTCTGCTGATTGGCCCCTCACCCCAGTTCTGTGCTGATAAGCCTAGCTACCCTTCCAGGGCATGGGGGTGGGGTGTCCTTGTGTACAGTGTGTGTCTCTGTGGTGTGAGGATGCCTCAAATTGAGACTTGCACAGCTCCTCCTGGACTAGGTCTGCTTCTCTGTAGTTTTTCCTCACTATGGTTTTGCCTTGAAATACATTGAATATCAAGATATATTTGTGTGTGTGTGTGTGTGTGTGTGTGTGTGTGTGTGCGCGCGCGCGCGCCAGGGCAGGTGTGCATGGTCACAGCCTAGCAGACCTGCAGTTAGCAGATATTGTTGTGACAGATAAAGTCTGGCCTTTAGAATCCTGTACAAACAGAAATGAAGGCTCAAAATAAACATGAGGTACCAAAGAAAGCAACTTTAAATGTCTCCAAGGGATTGGCTCTCTCAATATTTTGGGTCCTTCATATGCCCCCTGGTGGTCGAAGGCGAGCATGACAGTGCCACTGTGGGAACGCAGCAGTCTCCTTGGTGTGCAGGTGAGCTGTGTCACTGTGACTGGCTGACTGTCGTCATGAGGATGATGTAATATTAGCCTGCAGCCTAGCAGTGTGCTAGGGAAACCCATTATAAACTTTCTTTCACAAAACAGTACAACAGGCTGGGCGGCTGGCTCCTCGGTTAAGAGAACCTTGTGTTCTTGTAGATGACTTGAATTTGGTTCCATGCACCCACCTGGCAGTTCACAGTCTGTGACTACAGTACCACCTGACTCTCGTTTTCAGCCCCCACATACATGTCTACATAGTACATATACATGTACTGAACATGGGTGCTGCACACACATGGCACACAGATAGACATGTAGACAAAACATCCATATTCATAAAATATAATTTCTTTTTGGTTTTTCAAGACAGGGTTTCTCTGTGTAGTGCTGGCTGTCCTGGAACTTGCTCTGTAGACAAGCCTGGCTTCAAACCCAGAGATCTGCCTGCCTCTGCCTCCCAAGTGTTGGGATTAAAGGTGTGTACCACCACCGCCCAGCTAAAATAAATTTAAAATCTTTTAAAAAGTGCTCTGACAACTCCATTGAATGACTATATATCATCATTTATAGAGGAGAAACTGTTTCTCAGGCTGAGTACACCATTCAGGGGCACACAGCTTGGAGGAAGTGGGCTAAGACTTCACGACAGGCCAAAACCCGCATCTCAACCACTTGCCTATCCCTTGACCCCTCCAGACACCAGCAGCGGGGTTCCTCTGAAGTGAGCTCCACGTGGGTCCTTTGCAAAGAAAACTCTTCAGTTAATAAAGTGTGCTCGGGCATAGCCTAATGGGATAGCACTTTCCCAGCATGCACGAGGCAGGTCCTGGGTTCAGTCTCTAGCAGTGGAGTGCCCAGTAAAGAAGAGACCTGGGTACAGGGACAGTGACCCTGGTGCCCAGGGCAGACCCTGCAGAGGCACGGGGCCGTCCATGGGGAGTGCCAGCCAGAGCGGGAACAAAGCTGATCTCTTAGGTGCCCAGACTAGTCTTGAACTCACTCTGTAGCCTAGGCAGGTGTTGAATTTGTGATCCTCCTGCCTCAGCCTCCTGAGTAGCTGGGAGCACACACCTGAGCCACCAGACCTGGCCACTTTGTAGGTTATCACTGAGAAGCAGACAGAACTAAATTCTCAAGGAGCCTATGAGAAGGCAGTGCCTCCTGCTAGGAGATCCCAGCCCTGCCAGGCCTTTGAACGGACCCCGGGGCCTGGTCTGGGGGGTGGTGGAGGACTTTGGGAACATTGCAGCTGCTGGACCTCGCTGTGGAGAATCTGATGACCTGTGACACTGGGCTTCAGACAAGGTCAGCCCGAGAATGTGCTTGCCATGTAGCACAGCCAGAGAATTAGCGCATCAAAAACAAGGTAATAAAGATTGCCCAGAGCTGAGCATGATTTGAGGACGGTCTGGTCTACAGAGCAGGTTCTAGGCCAGCCAGGGGTACACAGGAGACCCTGTCTCAAAAACTTCCAGAAGCTTTAGTGCTGGAGAGAATGGCTCAGCAGTTAAGGTCACTTTGCTCTCCATCCAGAGGTTCTGAATTCCATTCCCCACGTACACATGGCAGTTCACAACCCCCTGTAACCCTAGTTTGAGGGGCTCTGGTACCCTCTTCTGCCCCCCCCTTGCACCAGGCACATACATGGTGTGCCTACGTACATACAACCAACGCTCATGCACATACGATAAAACTAAAAAGTAAATCTTCTTTTAAAAAAATCCCTCAGGCTGGGGAGATGGCTCAGTAAGCAAGGCACTGCCATGCAAGCGCGAAGACATGAGTTGAGCTGTGTAGTACTCATGTAAAACTCGAGCCTGACCACATGCACTGGTAACCCTAGCACTGGGCAGACACAGTCAGGCGAGTCCCAAAACCACCGTTTTTGGATCACAAATTCAACACCTGCCTAGGCTACAGAGTGAGTTCAAGACTAGTCTGGGCACCTAAGAGATTAGCTTTGTTCCCGCTCGGGGTTCAGTGAGAGATCTTGTCTGAAAGGATGGAGAGAGATTGAGGAAGACCCTCAGTGTCAATCTCTGGCTTCCACACTCACACATATGCATATGCACACACACACACACACACACACACACACACACACACACACACACACACACACTTGAACATTTTAAAAATTCACCAGCAATCTGCTTATTGTGTAGGTTATACATCGATGTTTAAAATACAGAAGGTGAATAATGCTACGTGCTCTTCCTGCCAGATATCAGTATTGCCGACTTGTGTGTCTGCACAGTGTGTGCATGTAGGGTGTTTGTGCATGTGTGAGTGTGCAAAGGTTCCCTCTCACTGTCTACACATCATTGCACAGTGATGATGGGGTTCAAGAAGGTTTTCCTCAGATGTGCACCTTGCCACTTCCAAACCTAAGCTGAAGGAGTCTGAGAAATGCGGTGTTCGGGAGAGCGCCACCCTTCTCCTGGAGGAGCTGAGGAGAGAGAACGGGATGGTGAGACGGGTCTGACACAGCCCCGCTCTTGGTTGGTCCCCTTTTATCCCAGCCCCATTCTCTCGCTCTTTCCGCTCTCCTCAGTCTACAAGGCCTGACAAGCCGTGTCTTTGTGTCCTCATTTCCTTATTGAGGCTCTCATGTTAGGTGATACACTGTATAAATCTGTTTGTTCTTACTGATCTGCCTTCTGTTATCAGGACATCAGCACAGAACCCAGAAGATAAGAGGGGACCTTGTTTTTCCTCCCCTGTTGTAGATGTTCATCCCCCCTTTCTTTTCACTGTTGAGTTTCACTGTGTGGGTGCACTGATGGACACTTCAGCTGGTCTCCATTTTCTGCAAGCAATGGAGCAGTTAATCTCCTTTCACAAAAGCAGTTTGCATGTGCTCACACAGAAGTGGATTTTAGACTTCAAAAGGTCCATGTACTTGAAATGTCACCTCCGAAGAGGGAAGGCTGTTCCTGCTACCTCCAAGAGCAGGTGTCTGTGATCTGTGCCAACCACACAGACGAAAATGGCATCATAGAAGACTTCTTAGTTTATGCTTTTTCATTTTGCAGTGCTGGGAATTGAACCCAGGGAGGGCTTCGTATATGGTAGGCAGGCATTCCACTCTGAGCTCCTGTATTTTGTATAACGGTCATGTAAAACATATGTTTGTGTGTTGACGAACCATCAGGGTTTCCTATCTGTGTTTGGCCATTTTTTTTTCCTTATTGGCTTATAGAGCACTTTCTTTGTTAAGAAAATTGGATGTTTGCATGAGTTATGTGTAGAATGAAGCAAATTGCACAGCATTAAAGTGGGATATTTTTCCATCTTGTGAATGGTTAATTATAATTTTAATAGTATAATTGATCCCACAAAGTAATTTTCTTATTTGCTTTTAGGATTCAGATTAATGCACTGGTTCTAAATGTGGGAAGCTTCATTGAGTTTTAGTTTGGTTTCTGTTGCTATGATGAAAACTCTGACTCAAACCAACTTGGGGAGGAAAAGGTTTATTTCATTTTATGTCTTACAGGCATCAAGCAGGGCAGGTGCCTGGAGGCATGAACTGAAGACACACTGCTCACTGGCTCCCTCCTCAGGACTTGCTCAGCCTGCTTTCTTACACATCTCTGGACTGAACTTAGACACCCTGCCTAGGTGGCGTGCGCACAGTGGGCTGAGCCTTCCCACATCCATCATTAGTCAGACACTGCCCCAGAGTGGCCGACGGGCTAGCCTTGTGGAGGCATTTTCTCATGAGTTCTCTTTTCCTCAGATGACCCCAGCTTATGTCACGCCAAACAAGAAAGAGAAGGAGGGAGGGGGGAGGGGAGGGGGGAGGGAGGGGGAGGGAGGACAGACAAATGACTAGGGGGAGGGAGGGGGAGGGAGGACAGACAAACTAGCCAGAACAGTGCATTCAACTTTTAAGCTAAATACGAAACACCTTCTGCAGTTTTATTTCACCTTACTCTGAAATTGTTTCGATGGTTCTCATTCTTCCAGCATCGTAGACCCAACCCAAGTCCCACAGGCCTCAGGAAGAGATGCCTGACTACTCTTCCCATTGACATGGCCTCTCATTTGATCTCTGGCACATGGGAAGCCTGGAGTTGTCTCACAATGCATCAAACTGCCTGACACTGTTGTCTGGTTGTTGGAGCCTGCTTAACATCAAGGGCTCCTCCCCGTCCACAGTAGGAAGGAAGATGCAATCACAGTGAATTCTTACTGAAATAACCTATTTCCTGGGGACAGTTGAAGGTGTCCCATGCTGTAATGAAAGCTCTATAGATGGTTATATGAAGACAGAAGCAGAGATTGGAGTATTCTAGCCATGTGCCATGGAAATCCTGGGGTCACTGAGAGCTGGATGAGACATGAATGAGCCATGGAAATCCTGGGGTCACTGGGAGCTAGATGAGGCACCCCCAGAGGCTCTGGAGGGAGCATTGTTCTGACACCACCTTGAGTTTAGAACTCAGCTTCCAGGACAGAGGGAGAATGAGAATCTACTGCCAACCACCCTGTTTGTGGTACATTGTTATTGGCAGCTGTCAGAACATCAGCAGCACAGCACCTGCTGCCTTTGCACTGGCAAAAACCACAAGTGTTTACATGCCAGATTACTGTTGCTATAGAGATCTGAAAATATTGTTTTAACATTGTCATGACTTTGAAATTGTAACAGTTACTAATTGTTTAATAAGGCATTAAATAACAAATGTGTTTATTCCGTATTTCAGTACTAGTGTCTCTGCATTTCAATACAAAGATCCTATTTACTTTCTTTATTTTGTTTTATGCATTTACAAACATTATTCCAGGAAAAGGTCCCATTGGCTCTACCAGAACTCTTTCCACACAATACAGCTTTCACTTCAAAGTGAGTAAGAAATAGTTTATTCTGGAGCCAATATGAGTGACTAAGGTTGTAAAGATGGATTCAGGTTGCCTCAAACATGACAACCGTTTCATGCTTTTCAAGTACAGAAAAACCCATTTAAAGCACTTTTCAAATCCATGGGTGGAGACATTGGATAAATGGGTTGCAGCAAAATGGGGACATCTCTGCTGTGGGTCTCGTGTCATGCTAAAGGGAGTGTGGCATGCTCTTTCAGGACATTTTTAACCTTTGGTCTAAAGGATGTCAGGTCAGACAGGTCTGCAAATGGATAGCAATTAAGGGGGCTAAAGACAGTCCAAGATAGCTTTGCAGCGTTCCAGCTCTCCACAATCTGAAGTTGTGATCAGTCCTCAGCCTGCAGAATCTTTAACATGGTGTGGCCTTTTGGGAGGAGACCCTCAAACCCAAGGGGGCCCGTCAACTTCAGTCTTGCATGCATTACCACATTAGATCAGAAGAGAGCACTAGAGGACCCGTGCAAAGTGTGGAAGTTCATACTGCTTTTTTACCGTACTTTCCACTGCAGATCTAGAAATATCCTCTGAATTCAGGTTACTTTAGAATATTGATATAGGTACTGTGATCCAAATGTGGAATCACCTTCTCCTGATATCTTTTCTATATGTTGAACTATTTCCTACCATTTTCTAACTGACCCCATGAGCATTTGGCACTGAAGTGGTTTTAAACCATGTCCTACAGCTGGAGCTACTTGCAATGTTTTCTGTCCTTTTTGTTTGTTTGTTTGTTTTTGAGACAGGTTTTCTCTGTGTAGTTTTGGTGCCTTTCCTGGATCTCGCTGTGTAGACCAGGCTGGCCTTGAGCTCACAGAGATCCACCTGGCTCTGCCTCCCGAGTTCTGGGATTAAAGGCATGTGCCACCGCCGCCCAGCACTACTTGTAATTTTTAAGTTCTACAGGACAGTAGGAAGTATGCAGATATACAGAGAACAGGGCTGGGGTGATGATTCCATGGGTAAAATGCTTGCAACCCAAGCATGAGGACCTGAGTTTGCGTCTCCAGCTCCCATGTAAAAGCCAAGTGCACCTGTGACCCCAGCACTGAGGAGGGACAGGCTGGCCCAGGGGCTCACTGGCCAGTCAGTGTAGCTGAAATAGCTCCAGGTTCAGGGAAAGACCCTGTCTCAAAAAATAAGATAGAGAGTGACAGAAGACACTCAGTGTACACTTCACATGTGCATCATGAGCAAGTGCACCTGAACACACACACACACACACACACACACACACACACACACACACACACTAATAATAATAATAATAATAATAAAATTTTAAAAGAGTAGCCTACACTTGGGGTATAGTAGATCAGTAGGAGGGTATGTGCTTTATATATAGGCTTATGGGATTTGGCGTTCAGCTCTGGCTCCACCCCTACTGAAAAGGGCCTGAGTACATTGTAGGTGTGGTGATGTCTGTGGCAGTTTGGCTGTCTTGCAGGAGTAGGGCCTCCTGGGTCCATCCTTAGAGCAGCAGGAGTATTATGTGGTGTACCCTATCCCTGAATCCAGTCACTCTGACACTGGTTGCCCAGAGTTTGAGTAGGGCCAGGCCGGGACTGATAGTGGGCAAAGGGACCATCTGTTGAGAGCAATGGAGATGTATGTAGACCAGATCGTGGTGATGGTTGCATGCTTCTTATTATAGCAGAAACAAAAATCACCAGATTTGAAAATGGATTCTATTTTATTTAGTTCGTATATGCATGTGTACGTTGGTTCTCTCTACTGTGTGGATCCCAGGGTAGAACTCAGGTCGTACACTTGGCAGTAGGTGCCCTGACCCTCTGAGCCATCTCACCAGCCCAGCTGTTTTAGATGGTGCTTTATTTACATTTTACTTAAACAGAACTGTCTGTGTGTGTCCCCATGTGCATGTGTATGGAGACCAAATGAGGACACTGGGTGTTCACCTCTGCTGTTCTCCATCTACTCCCGTTAGTCCCTCACGAAGCCTGGACCTCACTCCTATAATTTTTTCAGCTGAGCAGCAAACAGTTGTGATGAGAACCATTGTGGTGACCGTTGTGATGCCTCAGGTGAGCTTTGTCTTGTAAGTGGGGAATAAGAAAACAGTTCTGGGAAGAAAGCAACTCAAGGGTGTGCTGTAGGCCCTTTGCAGTGGTCAGCCCGACCTCGCTGTCTTTGCTAATCACCTACTTTGACATATCTGCCTAGCTTACAGCTGCAGTAGGGGCTCTTAGGATCTTTGTGGCAGGGCACGGCTTTCTTGCTTCAGTATGGACCATGAGAAGGCCTGGGACTGCACTTGGGCCCCAGATACCCAGTGCAGTCGTCAGCCGGCTGGAATAAAGACTTTTAGTGGCTCATAAACTGTATCCAAGCGGTCTTCTCTGAGAGGAGCCCCACAACATTGTGGAGGCCCCAGGGAGATTCCCAGAATGGACCCTGACACTTAGGGGCCAAGGGACCCCCGAGATCAGGAAAGAGTGCACTGGCTGGAGAGGATTCCTGGGAGTGTGCACCTGAGATGTTCTGGGGCCCGGGGAAAAGCCTTTCTGACTAGTCTCTGCCAAGTGCTGCAGAGGCCGCTGACTGTGCCACCCAGAAAGGGAAGAAGCTGCCGTGTGGTATCAAGAGAGAAAACGGGAAACCGGCCAGGAGAACAGGAAGGGAAATGTTTGGGAAGTAGACCGATCTGCCTATTGTAAGCAGAAGGGTCACTGGAAGAAGGAATGTCCTAGCAGAAAAGAGAAAGAAAACAAAAGGTGCCCCATCCTCCAGCTAACTGAAGTTGATCGGGCCAGGGCTCCATCCAGCTCCGCCCCTGGGAGCCCAGGCTGGCGGAAAGAAGGGGAAACCTGTTAACTCCTGATAGATACTGGGGCAGCCCACTCTGCTTGGCAGAACCTCTTGGACCCCTCACTTCCAAGACAACAGCAGTTGAAGGAGAGACAGGCCAAACTGCCGTTTTCTGGGGATAACCTCCCGGACTGTGGGTTTAGGACTGGTAATGTAAATCCTCTTATCTGGTTATGCCAGACTGCCCATACACGTTAATTGGAAGGGACTTATTACGAAAACTCAGCCACTGTCTCTTTTGGAGAGAACTCGGCTAGTCTAACTCTGGCCAAGCCCATGCCAACATTCTGGTCACTTGTCCTCTATCTGAGGAGTACCTCTGACATGACTCAGCCACGGGAAGGAGGAGCTACCCTCAGGCTACCTACAGGAACTTAAAGTACCCTGATGTTTGGGCAGAAGGAACCCATGAGGCTTAGCAGCACACCAGCCACCTATCATAATTCAGTTATTAAAGTTTGCTATACCAGTAGGAGTTAAACAATACTCCATCGGCTAGGAGTCCAAGCAAGGAATTTATTGCCAAACATCTAGACCAATTGAGGGAGGCAGGAATTCTCATTCCCTGCCACTCCCCATGGAACACTCCCTTGCCCCCTGTATGGAAACCCACAGGTAAGGGAGGTCAACAAAAGGGTGAAAGCCATCCACCCCAAAGCCCTGAGCGCTTACAGCCCTGAGCCAGTTGCCTCTAGAAAGGAAGAGCTGTGCTGTTGTAGATCTGAAGTGTGCTTTCTTCTGCCTCCTTTTGGACTCAGCCAGCCAACCCATATTTGCTTTTGAATGGACCAACTCAGAGGCTAGATATGCCTGTCAACAGAAATGGACTTGGTTGTCACAAGTGTTCAAAAAATCACCAGCATTGTTTGATGAAGCCCTGAGCACAGATCTCTTGGAATTTAGACAGAAGTATCCATAAAGTACCCTGCTTTGATATGTAGATAAGCTCTTCCCACTCACTGGTCCCAACCAGGAGACTTAGTTTGGATAGTGAGAATCCCTGTCCGGACCCTGGAACCTGTTTGGAAGGGACCCTGCCCAGTCATCCTCACCACCCCAAATG